TTATAAATGAAATAATGGTATTAAGATTAAGAAGGTATTTGTTGAAAGAAAAACCAATGTTTAATAATACACAGTATATATATATTTAAAATGAGACTGTCCTCAGTGTCAACAAGTTTTTGTTTGAAGTTAAGCACAAAGCTACACAATGGGCTATCTGTGCTCTGCCCACCACGGGTATCAAAACCCAGTTTCTAGCGTTGTAAGTCCACAGACAAATCGCTGTGCCAGTGGGGGGCTCTCAGTTTCAAAATACAAGATAAATTACTCAATAATATATTGCAGCGTTTCTCAAACCTTTGTCATCCACGCCTCTCCTTTAAAAAATATGGTTTCTTGCGCGCCCTCTTCTTTTTTGTTTTTAATGAGTGAAAGGGTTGATTAAGTGACGAGACATAATACACGGATGCACATTAAAATGCTGTAATGTTGTAGTAATTACTTATTATTTTCGCTAATAAAATAATACATTAAAATGCTTAGTTTTGCATTATTGCACTATCGACTACCCTGATCGCTTGCGCCAATCCCAAGTAATCATTTGCGCTCCCTGGAAGCATTCCCCACATTTCAGGAAACGCTGGTGTACTGTATGATAATAATATGTAAATGTTTCGATGTCTCATTGTGTCGTCATTATTGTGTATCATTAGACGTTATTAAAACCCGTGTTATTGGAATAATCATAGTTTCGTTATCCATTTTCGAAGGCATCAACTACTAATCATTATAACTCTAGATAGCTTCTGAGCTCATACGTATTTTAGGCTTTAAGAATATCTGAATTTAGTTTAGAAGTATAATTCAATTTAAATCCTGATCATAAAGCACTTCATGAGGGCTATAAAGCTACATATTTATGTACTCCAGCTATAAAACTATTTTCTTAGATACCCCGTGAGTCATTTTAGGATGGGTAGAAACAGTCACGTATTTTTTTATAATCACATTATTTACTATATTATTTATCCAAAAGTTGCAGTAAAAGTAGATTAACTTATTAACTACTTGTTGAAATAAGAGTTTATGTCATAGGTAATTAAAACTCTTAACACTAAATCCTAAGAAGATATTATATGAACTACGAAGGAGTGTACCTCCTGTAATTAAAGTATAAGCTAAATATAACAGATTCATGCCAATGTTGTGTAGCTGCTCGTTTGTTAATTTCCGGTACAAATTCTTTCCGAGTGACTTCAGCGATACAAGTCCTTTCTTAATTAAAACTAGTTTATTCTTTCTCGATACAATTTTGTAATATACAGAATTTCCACAGTCACTTTAAACTTAATTTTTATAACACACGCTATAAATCACAGTGATCCACACACTTTACATACTGTGCCTACTGTTCGCTTGACTCAATTATCTATCTATCTCTTCGATCTATCTGCCTATCTCGCTGGCTTTCTTTGCCAGGCTTATATACTAAAAAAAAAGAGGGCGTCTAGCAAATACTCGGAGATTCGCGGGGTTCCCCGATAATTCTAGACACTCCAGCACGCATGCTCCTGGCGTCACGCGACTTCCGTTGTCGTAACACCAAGTTAAAAAATAAGTTTCGTGTGCAACTATACAGTAATTACGTATAGATGAGGCAGCTGCCCTAGGGACCACCTCGTGAAAGGTCCACTTGCCAGATAGGACCCAGAAACCTACCTGGTATATAACTGCAACTCGTGAAAGGCGCGGCAGTCGTTTAGGCCATCTATAAGTCAACAATTAGAGGCTCTATTCCCCATCATCACTACACACAGACATCTGCCCTAATATTCCATGAAACAATTAAAAACGAGATTTCACTGTTTTATGCTCTAATTTGGTGTAATATTTTACTTACTAACATTAAAAGGGTTAGGCCACAGACTGGAGAACATTTTTGTCGCAGAGCCTTCTTAAACCTATGTACGCCGCTATAGTTGTCAGTGATTTTTAGCAATACGTTTTTTCATTCTCGGTCTACTAAAGACAATAATTTGTTAGTATAACGGTAGATACCTTGAATATATCTAGAAGATTCAAGACTGGATGAAAAATGTTATTACGAACACACATCTCAGAAATAAAAGTAGTATGAGAACAAGCAAAAATCTCGCAGATATTACTGATTAAGTATCCTCGCCTTATATATATATATATTATTTTTACTTCTGAAGTTTAATAAATGTTAGGCTTAAAGGTTCTCAACCCATGATCCAAGGGATCCGCGACGGTAAAGTTTAAGTTCCCACATTATAGTTAAAAAGAGAGAGAGAGAAAAACGATACGATATTTTGGTTGATTAAATGAAAATGAAATTTTATATCAAAATAACATTAATTTACACATCTATGTCAAAGCTGCTTTTTATATTGTAAGATCTGTATCTACAGATAGATTTGTGCTGATTAGTGGAGGGGGTGTGTGAAGTCGTGAGACTGTTCTCATTCGCGAAAATGTTAATGAGAAGAAAATAGACTAAGAATCATTGTGTAAGGCACATAAACATTTTTTTGTAAAATAATTCATTGTAGATTAGATAGTTTTTGTCTCCAAAAGTATTTGTTTGTTTTTACGTTTCACAATTACTAAATCAATCTTATGACGTACAATAAATAAGCACGTTGATACATTAAGAACAATGTATTATTTAACTTTGAAGTTTAAACTTACCCAACTTTCGTTTTGAAAATAAATGACCAACCATTTCTGTCTGTACAATATTCAAGGTCATACATCACAGTCATGAGGCTTCACTTGTACATTTAGCTTTCAATGGATTTTCATAATTTGGGATTTCATTTTAGTATTTTACCCGTCTTGAACATCAGTAAGATTTAACATTAATATTCCACCAGTACTAACCAACAATAAGATTTAACTGTAATATTCCACCAGTACCAATCAACAATAAGATTTGACTTTAGTATTCCACCAGTACTGAACAAGATTTGATTGTAGTATTCCACCAGTATTGACCAACAATAAGATTTGACTGTAGTATTCCACCGGTCTTGAACAATACGATTTGATTTGTGTTCCACCTATCGTGATTTACAGACACTTTACTTATTCAGATTCTTTTGGTATTCTAATAATCTTAAAATCAAATTGTTTTACTTATTATACTAGTGCATGCGCAATTAAATTGACATATTAATCGCTACCTACTGGCTTACTGGGACATTATTTCAACCACACTTGAACTACTTATCGCTACCTGCTGGCACACTGGAACATTACTTCAACTAAGTTGAATTGTACATCGCTAGCTGCAGACTTATCGTGGCATTATTTCAACAATTTAGAACGTATCATTATTAACTGCTCACTGCTGAAACGTTATTTTTATATACAAAGTTTTATTTTTTAAGTTGGAGAGAAATTTCTTCGCATATCAACCGCTGGTTAATTCACGTTTTTCCTGAACCGACTTCTAGATGTTTGAATCCTATTTTATAGTCTAAACCAAAGCATGTTAATGTGGTACTGAGAAGTATCTTAATCATTAGTAACAAGTAGCTTTACTAATAATGGCTGGAGACGGCTTGAATGGGTAATGAAGGAAACCTTTAATATAAGTTTAACATAACAGCAAATGTACAAGGTTTTGTCATCATCAGGTAGCTTTACTGTTCTTAATGT